GCTTGGGCAGGCTTGCCGTTCTTGCGACGCTGCACGTGCGTTGCGCAGGGGGGGAAAAGCTGGCGCACGTAGGCCTCTTAAAATGTTTTGGACTTCAACTCCCAGAAGCCCTGGCAGGCAGAAGGCATTGTGGGAGGAGTAGTTTCCAGGAGTGGCCCAGCGGTGCCTACGCAGTGGAGTTAACAGAGGGTGCAGAGAGGGGAAGAATGAGCAGGTTGTAGCATCAGTGAGAGTTTGGGGAGGGTTACTTTGTTGCATCCTTTTCTTTATTTGGATCCGAGCATTGCACAATGTAAATACAGGTATATGGACATATATGGGCCAAAATAAAACGTTAAATAAATTGGGTTGTTTTTGACCCAAAGTGGGCTACTCCCCTAGCGTTATTTCATCTTTTTGCTGTAGATCTTTTGTACACGTGGTGGGATATCAATTGCACACGCATTTATTTATTTATTTCATTTCATTTCGTTCATACCCCACCTATCTGGTCATTGCGACCACTCTAGGCGGCTTACAACACAAAATACAATATAAGGAAGGAATTTTTACACAATTAGAGAATTCTGCAACATGGAGAGCAAACAAAATGAATCATAATAGAGAAAGAAGGGAAGGAAATCAGGAATTAATTGGGAGGCTGGAAGGGGCGGGAAAGGCCTGCCTAAACATCCACGTTTTTGTTTTTAAAATGCTGCATGGGTTGAGTTTCTCCACAGTTACAGAAGATTTGTCCTGTATCCAAGTATCCCCGTTTTACTGGATTAGTCTTTGATCTTCCTATTTTGTTTGGAAGTCTGTTAAGTGACTTCTGGATGGTCCAGCTAGACTACTGTCTTGCCCTGCTGAGAGGCACTCCCTTGAATTACAGGCATTTTGAGCCATTCTTCAACAAATAACTGTCACAACCTCTGGAAATGCCTACCACCCCCTCCAAAACAAGGCATGAGGTCCACTCTTGACACCATATTAAATTGCCTTATTTTTAAATTTGTAGTCTCTTGCTGATTCCCCTGTACACATTTCCTGCATTTGGTGCAGTTACTTTACCATGCAGTGACCTGGGTGCAAGCTGTTTAGAAAAGTAGCTTATAATTAATTGCTGAACCTGAGCTAACAATTATGGAATTGGAAGTCCAAACCACAAGGCTTCAGGGAGGGTTCCTGGATCTTGGGATGTTAGATGGGATGATTCACCTGTTTTAATGCTGCCCAGTTAACCTTCATTAAATCGAGAGGCATTGTGGTCCTTTCCAGAGATTCCTGCCTTCTTACAGTGTGCCGGAAATAAGATAGCTTCAGTTTCAATATTTTTTGCCTCCAGAAGACAGCTCAGGCTTGATTTGTTCTAGGACCCACGTCTTTGTCTTTCTGGCAGTCCAGAGTTATCCGCAAAGCTCTCCTCTAGAATTGTATTTCAAACAAATCAATCCCCCCTCCCTGGTCAGCTTTCATTACTGTCCAGCTTTCATGCCCCATCCACAGTGATTGGAAACACAACAGTCTGGATGATCTCGGTCTTGGTCTCCGTTGACACATCCTTACACTTGATGACTTTTTCTAATTCCTTCTTGACTGTCCTTCCAAATCTCCGTCTTCTTCTGATTTCTTGGCTACAGTCTCCATGTTGCCATGTGTGATTGAACCAAGGCATACAAAACCTTTCACAATTTCAGTTGCTTCATGGACAACATTAAAGCTGTGTAGTTCTTTCGTAATCATGATTTTTGTTTTCTTCACGCTCAACTACATCCTGTTTCGGCACTTCCTTCTTTCACATTCATCAGAAGTTGTTTCCAAGTCATTGCTGCTTTCTGCTAAGCAAGATGCATCAGTACGTTTATTTTACCAGTCTTCACTCCTTCATCTGAATCTAGTCTGCCTTTCCATATATGTTCTGCATACAGATCGAACAGGTAAGGGGATAAAATGCACCTTTGTCTGACATCTTTGCCTATAGGAAACTCTCTATTCTGTCCACAATACAAAGTTACTAATTAGGACCGTCAGCACACCCATATCTTCCAGAACAACCCATAACTTCTCATGATCAACGCAGTCAAACCTGTTGCTGTAGTGTATAAATCATTTTCTATTTGGTGTGCTCCAGTAGCCAGCAGATATTTGCAATATGATCTTGAGTGCTTCTTCCTTTTTTTTTTGGACTCCAGCTTGAACATCAGGCATTTCTTGCTCCATATAAGGAAAGAGGCTTACTTGCAACACCTTGAGCGTCACTTTTTTGCATGGTAAATCTCTTTGGAATCTTCTTTCTTAGGAATGTATATTAAAAGTTTCCAGTCAGTGTTTTGTTTTCCACATTTGTTGGCATCTTCTTGTTAGGATTTTGACAGATTCCCATCTCTGTGGCAATGAAATAATTCCATTGGTATTCCATCTGCTTCAGGTGATTTATTTCTTCCTTGTGCTTTCAAAGCAGCTTTCACTTCACTTTCTAGAACTGCAGGTTCATCAACATCGTAGGATTTCTCTTCAAAGGACTCTCTATCATGCTTTAATCTCTTCGGAATGCTGTTTCTATCTTCATCTTTGATAGATGGAAGGTATAAAAGAGAGCTATTGCTATATTATATTTATTTGTATTTATTTATTATATTTAATAATATTTCTGCTGTGTGGCTTAGAAAATGCTAGGGCAAGCAAATAAGCTAGTATTGGTATTCTGTCTGATCTCGGTTAGAAAATCTTGCCAATTGATGGGAGACTTTACTAGGCTGCAGTTGTACAGGTAGGACTACACTTGAAGTGGGTCCAGAAAGTGAGTCCAGTTTGCAGGTGCAAGACTGCAGACTGGTGTGTGGTGTTGGGAATATGTGGGTCTGATTTTGAAAAGACATGCACCGGTTGCAGATTGCTTCCTGGGTCTGATTCAGGGCATTGGCTTTAGCCTTTATCGCCCCAAACATCTTGGATCTTGTCTGTCTGTTGAAAAGGACTGTGTGACTTCTCATGAACTTGGCTGGATGTTAAAAGATACTCAGGGCAGGATGTCAGTTCTCTTGAAAATGCCAGCAGCTGTTGGGGCCTCCTTGACAGGTACAGGGGAGAAGGGTTTCTCCTGCGTCGCCCAGATCAAGGAATAGGGTTGCTTCAAAGCTGTCCTCCTGCTAGGCTCTTTAGGAAAGGCGTGAAAACATAATTGCTTGAAATTAGCTTGTGAAATTGTCTTATTTGTTGCCATGTCACTGACTTTACAAATTTAACTTAAATGGCTTTTGTGGTTGCGTTTGGTTTAATTTACCTTTAACGGTTCTGTGGTTGAGTTTACTTCTGTTTGTTCTTGTTATGAAAGGCAGATACGTATAACGGCAACCGATAAGTTCTTCCCTTACGGAGTGTAGAGACTTAATTCTTCCGCTGTCTTCCACTGAGAAGTTGGGACACTTCAATTTTGAACCAGTTGGAGTTGAGTTGTTGCAATGCTCTACAAGCTTGGTCCCCAACTTTGGGTCCCCAGAGGTTCTTGAACTACAACTCCCAGAAATCCTAGTGAGTACAGGTAGGCTTCTGGGAGTTCTAGTCCAAGACCATCCAGGGACCCAAGATTGGGAACCACTGCTCTAGGATGTTGGTTCTCTTTTTCCCATCTGAGTCACAAATGACCCTCTTCCCTCACCTCCTTCCACAGTCATGCCGTCTGCATCTTCTACCTGGTTCTCCGAGCCTTGGACACGGTCGAGGATGACATGACCATCAACCTGGAAACCAAGGTTCCCATCCTGCACAACTTCCACTCGTACCTGTATCAGCCGGACTGGCGGTTCATGGAGAGCAATGAGAAGGACAAGCAGGTGCTGGAGGATTTCCCAACGGTGAGCGCTTGCGTCCCTGCTTGGATCTCTCAGATTTGTATCTCAGAGTTGGGAGGAAGGAATACTTACTCTCCCTCTGGCAACTTAGAAGCAAAGTCATCCATCTCAGATGGCGCCCCCTCCCCAAGTTTCCGTTTAAAAGTCTCTTGTGATGTCTCTCCCACCATTTCCCCAGGTAATCCAGTGCAATAGTAAATTGAAAGGATAAGAAAGGAGATTTCTCTGAATGTTAGGAAAACAACCTCCTGGTCGTTTAGTCGGAATCTCCTTTTTATCACATGGATCTCCTTATTTGAGTCAGAAACAGCAGAAAACTAGAATCGCAGAATAACTGAGTTGGAAGGAGGCTATGAAGCCATCAAGTTGAACCCTCTGCTCAAAGCAGGAATCCCAATCAAAGGATATCTGCCAGGTGGTTCTCATAAGTTTCTCTTGAAGGCCTCCAGTGGTGGAGCACTCATCATGGATTCCATTTTTGTACTGCTCTAACAATGAAGAAGTTTTTCCTGGTATTTAACTGAAATCTGGCTTCCTGTAGCTTGAGCCCATTGTGACATATCATGCACTCTGGGATGATCAAGAACAGATCCTGCCCCTCCTCTGGATGACGATCTTTCGAGTACAGTGGTGCCCCGCATAGCGACAATAATCCGTGCAGCAAAAATCACTGCAAAGCGATTTCGTTGCTGTGCGGTTTTAAAAAGCCCATAGGAATGCATTGAAACCCCTTCAATGCGTTTCTATGAGCTTAAAACTCGCCTTTAAGTGAAAATCCTACATATGGCCACCATTTTCGCTGCCCGGTAAGCAAGGAATTCGGGCGAAAACACAGCGGGTGGCCATTTTATTTACCCGGCGTGCACACAAACACATCTCCTCGTTTGGCTCTTCAAAACAGACATGTTTCGCTTGGCCAGGAGGGCAGGCAGAAAACCCATGTCCTCTATCTGGGAATTGGGGTATAATTTAGTAAACCCACTGGGTCTAGCCCATTTGGGTCAGATTAAAGTAAAAAGAATATTACCTAGTGGTTGCTGTTCTGCTCTGCAGGTGTTGAGTGTTCCTGTGCTGCCTTCTTGGTAAGTAGGGGTGGCCAGAACTGGATGCAGTACTCTAGATAGGAGACCTAGTAAAGGTAAAAGTTCCCCTTGACATTTAGTCCAGTCGTGTCCGACTCTAGGGCGTGGTACTCATCCTTGTCTCCAAGCCGTAGAGCCAGTGTTTGTCCATAGACAGTTTCTGTGGTCACGTGGCCAGTGCGACTAGACATGGAATGCCGTGACCATCCCACCGTGGTGGTACCTATTTATTGACTCGCATCTTTACATGCTTTCGAATGGCTACATTGGCAGGAGATGGGACAAGCGAAGGGAGGTCCCTCCGTCGCGCAGTCGATGGCTGGTCTTTTGACCCTGCAGTACAGAGGCTTTTGCGGTTTAATCCGCAGCGCCACCACGTTCCTAGATATGAGACCTAACCGGTGCTAAATAGAGGAGAGCTAGTGCCTCATGGGATTTGTAAACTAGCTTCAGTCTTCTACATGAGGGCCCTTCCAATGTTTTAAAAATCACCTCTCAACCTTCTCTCTCCTCTCTCACTGTCGGTGAAGGATCATGGGATGCGTCCATGCGCCAGGCCTCTCCTTCCAAAACCAGTGTATTCTCCTCTCCTCTCTGGGGAAGTGCAGCAGGGCTCCACTTGTGGGCAAATAAACCTATGGGCATACCTGCTTCAATGTAAACAGGAAACCAGATGGACTGGAGTTTCCATTTGGGTGGAGGAAGAATTCACATCTACACATTTGGTAGATATCAACTCATTCCCCAGTTGATTGTGTGTCATGTTCAAAACTAAATGCATTGAGCTTGATCCACCTGGATGGAAATAACTAGGAAGAGAAAGCCACGTTCTCCAGGGTTTAAGGCGGTGGAGCAGGAGATGGTTCCCTCTGTTTATGAAGAAAGACTGCAAGAACTGGGCCTGTGCATTCAAACAGAGGTGAATTCAAAACAGAAGCTGGAATCTCCTTGGTCAGTGACACTGGTGTAAATTGCAGGGACCTGTTGCTGCTAGCTAGCAAATAAATGCTTATATTCTTTGTCATGTGGCCGTCACCTGTGGTGGTAGGTGATGATAAATTTATGTCCTTCTGCTTAGCAGCAGCATAATTAACCAATGGGATTCTGGCCAGGTGGTGGAGCAGAGTTTTAAGAAGAATTTTGGCAGCCTTTTCAAGGACTGTGAGATGTTCAAGGAACAACTTATCATGGGTATCTGCTGCCAAGTTTGCATGGCCAGGTGCAGCTTGCCCGATGCTATACAGGCTGGGCTTCACTCCCAGGAGGCACATGGAAAATCAAATTCCTGTACTCTGTCTCTTGCACCAGGTGTGTGAACCAGTGCCTGGACTGCGGTAGTGGAATATTGTGACTCTTAGGCTTTTGCTAGTTTGGTTTTGGTGGGGGAGGGAGTGGTCACCCTCGCCATAATTACGGCTCACACTTGACTACTTCTTTGCTTGCTTCTTTCTTTGCTCTGCTTCAGATCTCCCTGGAGTTCCGGAATCTGGCCAAGGTCTACCAGGATGTGATTGCTGACGTTTGCCACAAAATGGGCGTGGGGATGGTCGAGTTTTTGGAAAAGAAGGTGGATTCTGAGAAAGACTGGGACAAGGTGAGTGGGGAGCTATAGAATCAAGGAATCACAGAGTCGGAAGGGGCTGATGAAGCCATCAAGTCCAACAACCTGCTCAAGGCAGGAATCCAAATCAAAGCAGATCAGACAGAGGGTTATCCAGTTTCCTCTTTAATACCTCCAGTGTTGGAGTGCTCGCCACCTCCCGAGGCCATTGGTTCCATTGTTGTACTACTCTAGCAGTTAAGAGTTTTTTTTTCTGATATGAGCCCATTGTGACGTGTCCTGCACTCTGGGCTGACTGAGAACAGACCCTGCCCTTCCTCTGTAGGATAGTCTTTCAAATAATTGAAAAGTGCTATCCTATCTTCTCTCAGTCTTCTTTTCTCAAGGCTCCACAGGCCCAGTTCTTGCAGTCTTTCTTCATAAGGCTTGGTTTCCAGCCCCCTGATCATCTCTCCTGTTGTCCTCTGAACCTGCTCCACTTTGTCAGCATCTTCCTTGAATGGTGGTGTCCAGAACTGGATACAGGTCTCTAGATGAGGCCTAACTAGTGCTAAATAGTACCTCACACGATTGGGAGACCATTCTGTTAAATGCAGTCTGTTACCGTATTTTTCGCTCCATAAGACGCACCTCTCCATAACACGCACCAAATTTTTAGAAGAAAACAGGAAAAAAAATCAGTTTTCTTCTCCTAAAAATTGGTGAGCCTTATGGAGAGGTCCATCTTATGGAACACACCCAAGGACCCTTTGGAGGCTCACCCTGCCCCCCGGGGGTCAGAGGAGGCAAAATCACCAGCTTCTGGGATTCTTCTGAATCTTCCCAAGCCTCAAAAGAGTCCCAGAAGCTGGCGATTTCGCCCCTGCTGGCCCCTTGGGGGGGTGGGGGAGCATCGCAAGGGTCCTGGAAGGCTCACTCGGACCCTTGTGACGCTATCCCCACCCTTGCATCGCAAGGGTCCTGGAAGGCTCACTTGGACCCTTGGGACGCTCCCCCCCACGGGGCCAGTGGGGGCGAAATCACGGCCTTCGCTCCATAAGATGCACAGACTTCCCCCCCCCACTTTTTTGGGGGGGGAAGTGCGTCTTATGGAGCAAAAAATACGGTAATTTTAAATGCCTTCATGCAAAGATTCATCTTTTGTAGACATAACTACTCTTGAAAGAACAGCATGGAATTACCACCATGTTTGTATTTATGATATGCTCATTACATACAATCTTACAAACTTAATTAAGCTAAGAAGCAACTGGCTTGTTCTTTTGTTTTGTGCATCAGCTGGCTGTGCAGGATGCTAATTGGTTGGTTATTATGACTGTACATCGGAAAGCATAGCTCATCCTATGCACACTTAAGAAGATTTCATTGTGTCTAGAAGTGATTAAGCCAGAGGGAGAAGGTTTCATTTCCCTTAGAGGCCAAAACATCATCATCATCATCATCATCATCATCATCATCATAGATCTATAGAGCTGGAAGGGACCCTGTGGATCATCAAGTCAAACCCCTGTCAAGGAGGCATAGTGGGGAATCAAATTCCCAACCTCTGGCTCTGTAACCCTAAACTATTTAACTATCCAGCCGTTCATATAATTCACTCCCAAACACCATCCAACCTCCTTTTGTGGATTGTCTGAATTGTGCTGTGCATATAATTTTCTCTAGCAGCTTTTCCTTGAAAAAGAAAAGAAAAATCCCAAAATATTTCATTGTGTCTAGATACAATAGAGGACAATCAGTAGAAAAGAAAGAGCATTAATTGTTGCTTATTAGGACCCAATTTCTTCAAAAAGTATTTCTTTAATAGGCTTGTGTGATGCTTGGTTTTTTTTAGTGCAGCAGGGCTCCACTTGTGGGCAAATAAACCTATGGGCATACCTGCTTCAATGTAAACAGGAAACCAGATGGACTGGAGTTTCCATTTGGGTGGAGGAAGAATTCACATCTACACATTTGGTAGATATCCACTCATTCCCCAGTTGATTGTGTGTCCTGTTCAAAAATAAATGCATTGAGCTTGATCCACTTGGATGGAAATACAGTGGTGCCCCGTATAACGAGCAATTTGTTTAACGACGAATCCGCATAGCGATTGCATTGCGATGTTTCTAATGGTAAAACATCACTTTGCGATGATCAGTAAGCGTTTCACTTACCGATTTTCGCATAGCGATGCTTTTTTAACAGCTGATCAGCAGTTCCAAAATGGCCGCCGGGTAAAGAAAATGGCCGCCCGCTGTGTTTTCGTGCCCTTTCCTCGCTTACCGGGCAGCAAAAATGGCGGCTGCATGGAGGATTTTCGCATAACGGTGAGCTTTTTAGGAACGCATTAAACATGTTTTAATGCAGTCCTATGGGCTTTTTTGCCCCGCATAGCGACGAATCCACATAGCGACAATTTTTTCGGAATGGATTATTGTCGCTATGCGGGGCACCACTGTAACTAGGAAGAAAAAGCCAGGTTCTCCATTGTTTAAGGTGGTGGAGCAGGAGATGGTTCCCTCTGCCCCACAGAGGTGAATTCAAAACAAACTGGAATCTCCTTGGTCAGTGACACTGGTGTAAGCACAGTGGCATAAACTGCAGGGACCTGTTGCTGCTGGCTTGCAAATAAATGCTTATATTCTTTGTCCAGTGGCCGTCACCTGCGGTGGTAGGTGATGAAAAATTTATGTCCTGCTTACAGCAGCATAATTAACCAATGGGATTCTGGCCAGGTGGTGGAGCAGAGTTTTAAGAAGAATTTTGGCAGGCTTTTCAAGGAATATGAGATGTTCAAGGAGCAACTTATCATGGGTATCTGCTGGTGAGTTTGCATGGCCAGATGCACCTTGCCCGAGGCTATATGGGCTGGGTTTCTCTCCCAGGAGGCACAGTGGAAAATGAAACTCCTGGACTCTGTCTCTTGCACCAGGTGTGTCAACCAGTGCCTGGACTGGGGTAGTGGAGTATTGTGATTCTTAGGCTTTTTCTAGTTTGGTTTTGGTGGGGGAGGGAGTGGTCACCCTCGCCATAATTACGGCTCACACTTGACTCCTTCTTTGCTTGCTTCTTTCTTTGGTCTGCTTCAGATCTCCCTGGAGTTCCGGAATCTGGCCAAGGTCTACCAGGATGTGATTGCTGACGTTTGCCACAAAATGGGCGTGGGGATGGTCGAGTTTTTGGAAAAGAAGGTGGATTCTGAGAAAGACTGGGACAAGGTGAGTGGGGAGCTATAGAATCAAGGAATCACGGAGTCGGAAGGGGCTGATGAAGCCATCAAGTCCAACAACCTGCTCAAGGCAGGAATCCAAATCAAAGCAGATCAGACAGAGGGTTATCCAGTTTCCTCTTTAATACCTCCAGTGTTGGAGTGCTCGCCACCTCCCGAGGCCATTGGTTCCATTGTTGTACTACTCTAGCAGTTAAGAGGTTTTTTTTCTGATATGAGCCCATTGTGACGTGTCCTGCAGTCTGGGCTGACTGAGAACAGACCCTGCCCTTCCTCTGTAGGATAGCCTTTCAAATAATTGAAAAGTGCTATCCTACCTCCTGTGAGTCTTCTTTTCTCAAGGCTCCACAGGCCCAGTTCTTGCAGTCTTTCTTCATAAGGCTTGGTTTCCAGCCCCCTGATCATCTCTCCTGTCGTCCTCTGAACCTGCTCCAGTTTGTCAGCATCTTCCTTGAATGGTGGGTCCAGAACTGGACACAGGCCTCTAGATGAGGCCTAACTAGTGCTAAATAGTACCTCACACGATTGGAAGACCATTCTGTTAAATGCAGTCTGTTAATTCCAGTTGGGTGCAGTACTACTCTGAGCGATATTCCAGAGTGAATGTAGTAACCAAAGAGGCACTAAATAACCGAGCACCTGCCTGTCTTGGAAGAGTTGGACAGCGAACCAACTTTAGCAGAAATAAAAGTGGCCTTGGATTCTCTCATCTCCAGCAAGGCACCTGGGAAGTATAACATCCCTGTTGAAGTGCTATAAAGAGATCATCACCACCAAGCTGTATAAAATCTTTTGTCTTTGCTGGAGGGAAGGTGGAGTACCACAGGATATAAAGGATGCAAACATCGTCACATTGTATAAGAACAAAGGAGACAGTGGCAACTGCAAGAACTACCGTGGCATCTCTCTTCTCAGCGTTGTAGGGAAGCTGCTGGCATGTGTTGTGCTGAAGAGACTCCAGGTGCTTGCAGACAGAGTCTATCCAGAATCACAGTGTGGATTTCGAGCTAATAGATCCACCACTGACATGGTATTCTCCCTCCGACAGTTGCAGGAGAAATGTAGGGAACAACAACATCCACTCTTTGTAGCCGTCATAGATCTCACAAAGGCCTTTGATCTGGTTAGCAGGGATGGCCTTTTTAAAATCCTTCCCAAGATTGGATGTCCACCTCGATTCCTTAAGATCATCAGGTCCTTTCATGAGGATATGAAGGGCACTGTAGTTTTTGATGGCTCGACATCAGATCTCTTTGACATCCGAAGCAGAGTGAAACAGGGCGGTGTCCTTGCACCGACCCTGTTTGGGATCTTTTTTGCTGTTATGCTGAAGCAGGCCTTTGGAACTGCAACAGAAGGTATCTATCTCCGGACTAGATCAGATGGAAAGCTCTTTGTTCATGATTTTGTGTACCTTGGCTCAACAATCTCTGGCACTCTCTCCCTAGATGTCGAACTGGGTAAACGCATTGGCAAAGCAGCCACCATGTTCTCTAGACTCACAAAGAGAGTATGGCTTAATAAAGAGCTGACAGCATAGACCAAGATGCAGGTCTATAGAGCCTTGTGTCCTGAGCACACTCCTGTACTGCAGTGAGTCCTGGACCCTTTGTGCATGGCAGGAGAGGAAGCTGAACACGTTCCATATGTGTTGTCTCCGACACATTTTTGGTATCACCTGGCAGGACAGAGTTCCAAACAGAGTAGTCCTAGAACGAGCTGGAATTGCATTACTGAAACAACAATGTCTACGTTGACTTGGGCATGTCGTGAGAATGGCTGATGGTTGGATTCCAAAAGATCTCCTGTATGGAAAATTAGTGCAGGGAAAGCACCCCAGAGGGAGACCACAGCTGTGATACAAGGACATCTGCAAGCGGGATCTGAAGGCCTTAGGAATGAGCCTCAACATCTGACCGTTCAGCCTGGAGGCAGGCAGTGCATCACGGCCTCTCCCAATTTGAAGAGACCCTTGTCCAGCGAGCCAGGGCCGAGAGGCAGGCCCGAACCCAGCAAAATCAGGGAGCTAGACAGGGGACAGATTGTATTGTGGAAGGGATGGTCACTCTCAAATCGGCCTTCTCAGCCACACTAGACGTTGTTCCAAGTCCTCCATACAGAGCACATTACCATAGTCTCTTGAGATGGAAGGATGCCTTATCTAATTCCAGTCTCAGAAGCACCATTTTGTGTTCTGTTTTGAGTAAACAGGCTATAAAATGGAGTTCTTGAGATTGGAAAGCTAAGCAAATGCTCATCCTAGGTAGGTTTTAAAAAAAACCCTCTTTTCTATAAACAGCAAAGTGTCTGTTGGCATGGTGGGGCCGGGAAAATAGCCAAAGTGAACGGCTCTCAAAGGGGAAGGTTTGAAAGTTCTGGGATTGGCTTCCTTGGGGAACGGTTGACAGTCTCCGAGGGCCCGTCTGGTACCTTCCGGCGATCTCTTTGCTTTTTCAGCAAGGAACCGAGTAAAGGTTGCAAAGAAGGGAAGCCGCTGGGACTTCTCAGTTATCTCCTGGCCGCTTTGGTGCCTTAGGAAGGGAGGAGCTGGCCTTTGTGCAAGATGAGCAGATGTTATCTGTCCCTTTACCCGGAGAGGCTAGGCTGGTGGCTCCACAAGGCAGGGCTTTCTCTTGCAACACCCTGTGTTTGATAGAGGAGCTGCCTTTCGAGATAAGCCAGGCTGGTTCCATTCCTGATGAACTTTCGGCAAGACATTTAGACTGTCTTTTGTCACATGGCCCTCGGGGGGTTGTGTCTAAAACTGTTTTGAGAGCTGGTTTGTAGATTTTCTTGATGTGGCTTTAGAACACGATTTCTAAAGCTGGATTTCAAATAGATGTTTATCTGTTGCGCTTCTCATTCTTGCTTTTTAAAACCTTTCTTGGGCCCTCTTGAGAGCTGAAAAGTGATAAGCGAACCTCCCTGCGGCTGGTACTATCATTTCTGAACCTGAAAAAGTGAATTGTGAGCCACAAACGTTCACCCTGAAATAAAAATGGGTTGTTGTAAAGGTGCCGCAGGTCTTCTGGTTTATTTTCTTTCCGTTCCGGTTTTTGTTACGAACAAGGGCCTCGCGGGGGACCCTTGAGGCAGCTGGAACTTGGCTTGCCTCCAGTGGCCTAAATATGGAGCAGAAGAGAAAAGGCATAAACGTCCCACCCCCACAATTCCAGCAAGCCCATTTTCTACTGGTGGTGGTGGGATCAGACCTACAGTCCAGAGCCTGCTGGGGTGGGGCTGTTTACTCATATTTCTTCTGTCCCTTGTTTAGGGAACAGGATAGTACCTCATTAACAAAGGGAATGAAGCTGAAAAAGCAAGGCTAGCAGAACCCTCTAGCAATAAATGATGGGATCCTTCTAAGCCTCTGTAGCCAACTCAGCACTGTTATTGCACTTCTCAGTGCCTAAATGGTGTATTTTGGCAAAGACAAAAGAGAGATCCAAAAAAGTAAAGAAAGAAGAAACGTTGCAGCACCTTAAAGACTGACAGCTGTATTTTAATGTGAATTTTTTGTGGACAAGTCATTTTCCAATGTAAGAGTAGGACTACATGGAGAATACTTATACATTTAGACATGGGTCCATTACTGGAAGAGACTGTTTTTTAACGGAGAGTCTGGTTTATTTTCTGGGCACAAGTTGTTGATAGTGTGACAATTTCACAGTTCGCAATGTCCAATCAATCACAATGATTGGTAGCTAAATTTATTTTGGGTTTTTGTGTCTGGGTGTGTGTCCAGTAATATTACTGCAGGTTTTAATGTGACAAATGTAATAATGATCAGTTGTCCTTGTGAGGAGATGTGAGCCTCTTGCTTCTTGAGCGTTGGTAGGATGCAAAAGTTTGAGAACCGCTGGAGTTTTGGTGTGTGTGTGTGTTTTTTTAATGGTTGATCCTTCTGGATTTCTCTAGTATTGTCACTACGTCGCCGGGCTGGTAGGGATTGGGCTCTCCCGGCTGTTCTCGGCCTCCCAGCTGGAAGACGCCATTGTTGGCCAAGACACGGCGCTCGCCAACTCCATGGGGCTCTTCCTGCAGAAAACCAACATCATTCGGGATTACCTGGAGGACCAACTTGAAGGCAGAGAGTTCTGGCCCAGCGAGGTAAGAGGAGGAGGACAGAGGTTGGGTAAGAAGAGGTCCCATTTGCTGGAAGAAATGCAACATAACCATGGAATGAATAAAGGCTAAGAGGGGAGAATCGTGACGGATGGACCAGGGGGCGATCCGTAGATGAGTGGGAGAGTGTGCCCTTTGAATGCAGAAGGTCTTGACTGGATATATCTCCAGTTGCTGGTTTGCTTATTTCTTATAGTCAGCCCCTGGTGAAAGTAGATGAATAGTCTTGACTTGGTTTAATTCTGTTTTCTGTAGAGATCTATTCCCTGAAGACTGTTTACCTTGTTAGTGTAAGAGAGCCCTCTTGGTGTCTTCCCTGTGATAGTCACTTACTGAGACTTTGGATAGATCTGTTGTTTCCTAGATTGCTTATACACATGTGGGAGCAACTTCTATTCATGCAGGTAGATGTGAGGAGACATACGTAGGCTTTAACAAACTTCAAGAACAGCTCCTGCTCCTCCTCTATATTATGACTACCTTTCAAGTATTTGAAAATTGCTATCGTATTTCATAGAAAAGTAAAGTTGGAAGGGGCCTACAAGGCCATCAAGTCCATCCAAGATCTTGTCCCTCCTCTGTAGGACAGCCTTTCAAATATTTAAAAAGTGCTATCCTGTCACCCCTCAGTCTTTTCTCAAGGCTTAAAAATGCCCAGTTCTTTCAGTCTTTCTTCATAAGGCTTGGCTTCCATCCTTATTGCCCTCCTGTGAACTTGCTCCAGTTTGTTGGCATCTCTTGACGTGTCATGTCCAGAACTGGATGCAGGACGTGGCTGAGCCTTTGAGGTTTGGTGTCCAGTTTATGGCTTAGTGGGGGGGGGTCATGCCAGACACCCAGACTGGCTGTAAATACCCCCTCTTTTGGGGGTCAAAGTAGTTCAAGGTATCTACCTCTGTTGTGGAATGCTTGTAAGCCACTGTGAGCTCATCATTTCCACGGGGAGAGAGTATGGGATGAACGAAAGGCCGAGGGGCTTGCCCCTAGAGAACGCCAGCTCCCCTGCAACCTCCAGCCGGCCGGCGTGCCTCATCCTCTTTGTTCTCCCAGGTTTGGAACAAGTATGTGAAGAAAATGTCGGATCTGGCCAAGCCAGAGAACATTGACAAAGCGGTCCAGTGTATGAACGAGCTCATCACCAACGCCCTCCATCACGTGCCTGACGTCCTGACTTATTTGTCCCGCCTCAAGAACCAGAGTGTGTTCAACTTTTGCGCTATTCCACAGGTAGGCCATTGGGCAGGAGAGGCTGCCAGCTCCTGGAAGGACGTTTGCTTTTCATCTAGCGCAGTGGTTCCCAACCTGGGGTCTCCAGATGTTCTCGGACTAAAATTCCCGGAAGCCTTCACCCACTTGCTGGGCTGGCCAGGATTTCTGGGAATCGTAGTCAAAGAACATCTGGAGGCCCAAAGTTGGGAACCACCACCGTAGAGGTGAGAAGCTCAGTCCCAGATAGCTTCTTCAAGATAACTGCTTTGTCTCATTCTTCTCTTACTGAAGTTTGACTGGTGTTTTAAAGACCCAGTATGGTGCAATGCAAAGAATAATGGGCTTAAGGAATGGGGAATCTGGATTCAAATCTCTACTTGGTCGTGGAACCTCAGTGAGGGGGAGGGCACAGAGCCAGGAACCACTTCTTAAATATCTCACTAACCTTGAAAAGCCCTAACGGGTTGCTGTCAATCAGTTCTGGCCCAACAGCCCATAACACATTTTCTTCCATCAAAAAGAGGCCAGGCCAGGTGGCCTGCAGAGGATTTCAAAACACAAATGTGTAAAAGATTAAACACACACACACACACACAATGGATCGCAGTATTTAAAAAAACAGTTCAACACAGTAGTCATTAAAAAGTACTCAATATAATCTCTTTAAAACAATTAAAAAGATGTGTTTAAAAGATTAAAAATAACTTATCCACGAAATCTCCTTCTTTAGAAGTAATTGACATATTAAAAGGTCGCTTTTAAAAAACAAACACATGACCTACCAGTGGAAGAAGAGCAGAAAGGGGGCTAGCTTGGTTTCCTGTGGAAGGGAGTTCCACAGCACAGGAGCATATTGAGCAGCCCTGTGGCTTTGTGGACTACAAATGTTTTGGTTCTGAGCACAGTTCTGAATGTCCAAACCAGTTTATTCCGTCGAGATGTTTTTCAATTGCCTGCCATCTTCCCCCCCCCCTCCACACACTGGTTTTGCCTTGAATGATCAGCAATAACCTACACATCTTGTTTCTCATTATGTGAGTAACATAACATTCTTTCCTTCTACCTTTTATGTATTGTGGTTTGTAAGTTTTTCTATGCACTCACTGGTTTTAATACAGTAACATCTTAAATTCATATTTTAACATCTTGGAGTTCTTTTGAATATTTATTGGTTTTACTGTTTTTAAATTTGTAATATGGGAAGGGTATAAATCTAATAAATTAAATAAATACAATAAATAAAAGCACAGGGATCAGCTCCAACCTCCACCCACGTACGCTGAAAAATGTGGAAGTACGGGTGCTATATATCTCTGGCTCCTTTTAGTGGCCAGTTCTGGTAAATACACCTTGGAAATACATATATAAATAGGCATTTTGAGGGGTGGTGCTGTGTGATTTAGTATTTTCAGCCAGTGGATAAGTGAATCAGTGGATGATGATTCCACAGACAGGGTGTCCTGCTTTACTTTTCCATTGGCCATTCTCTTGATCAACAAACGATTACCCATCTGTGTTTGTAGTCCAGTCAAGCAGGGCTTGTTTTTACGGTCTTCTCCTTGCTCATCCTCCTCCTAGGTGATGGCCATTGCTACCTTAGCAACCTGCTACAACAACCAGCAGGTCTTCAAGGGCATGGTGAAGATTCGGAAGGGACAGGCTGTCACCCTGATGATGGATGCGACGAACATCCAGGCTGTTAAAGCCATCATGTACCAATATGTGGAAGAGGTGAGTTGGGTGTCGTGAAGTCTCCTGGGCTTATTGACCGAGCCACCTAGGCGACCAAGTAAGAATGATCTAAGTTTCTGTAATCCAAAGGAAGTTCAAATCTTGTCTAGCACCAACCCTTACTTTTTCACGAAGTTGCTCCTGTCTAAGAGAATTGGTGTCAAAGGCATTTCTCCGAAGGTTGTCTCCAGAAGCAAAGACCTTTGTCTTCAGGCAGGCTTTGCCTTAGTAACTGGCTTGTCTTGGGGGGGGGTGTTGTATGGATTGTACTCAGTTGCTATTAATGTTGTTTTTAGTATTGATCTTAATTGCCATTTTTAATATAATACTTAGAACCAGAATAATGAAGTTGGAAGGGGCCTCTAATTTTAGTATTGATCTTAATTTCCATTTTTAATAATAATACTTAGAATCAGAATAATGAAGTTGGAAGTGGCCTCTTAAGTCCAATCGAGTCCAACTCCCTGCTTGAGGCAGGAATCCAAATTAAAACAGATCTAACGGATGGTTCTTATTTTCTCTTCAGTGCCTCCAGCATTGGAGTGCTCAGGTTCCATTGTCGTACTGCTCTAACAGTTAGGAAGTTTTTCCTGATATTCAACTGAAACCTGGCTTCCTTTAACCTGAGCCCATTGTACGCTCTGGGAGGATTGAGAACAGATCCTGCCCTTCCTTTGTATGACAGCCATTCAAGTATTTCAAAGTACTATCATAGTATGACTATCAGTCTTCTTGTTTAATTCCTTTTTAATATTCCTCCACTTATTTATTTAAAATATTTTACCCCACCTTTCTCCTTGAAAAGGACCCTAGGCGGCTTACCACAATGAAAGATGAGTGAACAACAGTTTTTAACATCACTAAAAGACAGTGTTTAAAACTATGAACAGTGAATAAGGACACATCTTACAATATTAACAAACAATGTTAAGACAAAGATCAATAAGGCAAAGATCAATAAGCATATAAAAATTTTAACATGTCACTCTGAGAAGTGGAAAACACAAATAGTACTAAAATCCAGTCAAAGCAGTAATGCACAATAATCTATCTAAAAATCACACACAAGGGGCTGGTTTACTGAAGAGAATGTTCTTTGTCTGTTTGCAGAAGGACAGCAAAGATGGGGCCAGCCTGGATTCCAGTGGGAGGGAGTTCCACAGTCTTGGAGCAGCCACAGAGAAGGTTCTCTCCTGTGTCCCCACCAAACATACCTGTAAAGGTGGTGGGACTGAGAGAAAGGCCTCCCCTGATGATCTTAACACCCGGGCACACTCATCAAGGGAGATGTGGTCCTTGAGATAGCTTGGACCCAAATCGTTTAGGGCTTTATCGGTTAAAGCCAGGACTTCTTGCTTTTAGCTTTTAAATGTTGTGTTTTTCATGTGGTTTGCGTGCAGCCATTTGTGAAAAAAGGACAGGAAGAAGGAAACCCCAGGGCTGAAAGGAAGGGATGAGGGTGGGTGTGAATCAGAGAGGGATGAATGTGTCACTAGGAGGAAGCAGAGTTTAGGAAAAGTACCTTTTCTGGATTTTAGCTTACTGGATCCCCCAGCCAGCATGCCGATGGTAGTTGATTTGTCCCTTGGGAGCCAGCTTTCTTGCTAGGCTTGCTTACTTCCATTTTTAATTTAATTTAATTTTAATTGGGATACTGCCCATCTAGCAAATTGCTACTCTGGGCGGTGCACAACAAAATAAACATACGTTATAGAATAATACAGACAATGAATTATCCCAGAAACAAATCATAACCCAAGACAGGAGACGAAATCATTTTTGGAATACCTGACAATACGGCATTATTTCTCCCCTCCTTCCTCTAGTCTGCCAGCTATTTGGGGACATTCTTTCCGACAGCTTTTCTGAATAGTTCAGTTTTTTTAGGAGCTTTCTGAATAGGCAGAGGGAAGGTGCCTGCCGTGTTTCCTGGGGGAGAGCATTCCCCTGCATTAAAAGCCCAGTTTCTGGTTACCATTCCCCGGGCTTTTCTCTGTGTGTTAACACCTGCGGGCGTGAGGACTGGGTCCGAAGGGCTGCCAAACTTGGCAGAAGACGTCCAGACAAATAACGAGGTCCCGAACAGGCTGTGCTGCTAAAACTGCATCCTAATGTTGTGTGGAACAGGTGGTTGAATATAAGTTTCTTGGGACTATCATAAGCGGCAGCTTGCATTCAGCCGGCATAATACAACGGGACCACGCTATCTGCAGGGGGATCAGTTACAAGCCCCCCCCCCCGATACCCATAATGTGGAAGTATCAAATCCTATACATTGCATGGTCCCTGGCTCCCTCTAGTAGCCTGCTCCTGTTAAAACACCAGGAAATGCATAGGAATATGTATTTCTGGGGTTGTTTTATTAAATATTTTCAGGTCGCAGGTAAGTGACTCATTGGATACTGATCCCACGGATAGGGGGTCCTTCTGTAGTTAAGAGTAGAGATGGGGATGACTCACCATTTTGGCGAGTCGTCCCGCTTCGTGAGTCTTCAGAAGTTGACAACTTGTGAAGCACAAACTTGGCCCCATGAAGTGAAAAATAAAGTTATTCGTTGATTTGTAGTGGTAGGGTTATTTTAAAAAAAACCACCCCCACTGCCACCTTCTGTGGCTAAGGGAATCCAGGCTGCCCTTTGCAAAGATGGCAGCAGCAGCTTCCCTACCCTAAATGAAGCCTCAGCCGCCATCTTTGCAAAGGGCGGCCAGTTTCCTCGGGGGCAACGAGTACGGTAAGGGGGTGTCGCGGTGTGTAGGGTGGGGCTAAGGTAGGGAGAGGGTGGGGGTAGGTTGTGTGGGTGGGCGGCTGCCTATCAGCCCATGGATCAGCTGATTTGCGGGCCGGTAGGCAGAATAGAAAAGCTACAGGATGATGATGATTATTATTATTATTATCATCATTATCATTATTATTATTAGTAGTAGTAGTATTCATATGGGGACGAATAAAACGGGGAAATATTAATTGATCCGTATTCGTTGGGACTTAAAATCTGACGAATACGGATCGACGAATATTTAACAAATTGGCTATTTTTGTCGAAAAATTAAAGCAACATTAAAGGAGCTGCAGGAATATCTGTTTTTATATTCCTCCTCATTTCTCATTAAGAGGTCAGCATCACTTAATGCGGTAACGGGGCAGCAGAGTGTAGTTTCATGGCATGGTTTTGGTAACATGCATGTTTTCCCAAATGTTGTCGCTTGACTGGATCCCCATTCTCCTTTCACTAGATATACCAGAAGATCCCAAGCACAGACCCTTCCTCTTGCAGAACGCAACAGGTCATCGCCTCGATCCGATCCATGAGCTTGCCGGCTGGAGCCCTTGTCTCCCGGGCCCCTTATTCCCGGGTCTACCTGTCCTGCATTATGCTTCTCGCTGCTTTGAGCTGGCAGTATCTCAGCACCGTATCGAAAGCGACCGAGGAATACGTACACACTGGCGAAAACTGAAAGACCTTCTTCCTTGGGGGGTTTTATTTGACGTCTTTGCATTGAAATCCCATCATGGAGCCAGAGAACTGCTTTAGAAGTTCTAGGACTTGCAGGAAAGCTGGATTTGAAACCTTGATTTTGCAAGAAAGGGTTGATCCGCAAGCTTTCACCCGGAAAGAGCTGCTAACAAATAACATTTCTAGTTGGAAACCATTTTTTCCCCTTTCTTTTTGGACAAGTCACAGAGAAGTCTGTTTTGAGTTCACTAAGAGTTTTTCTTCTTCTTTTTTCCTTCTGCAGGGAATTTGGACTGCACTGGGTTTTTTCGAACGTAGGTTTTTTTTAACGAGAATGTTACAGGGTGCCGATTTTGTTGCTTGTGAGTTTTTGACGGTAAAAAAAGAAATTGCTGTAATAAAGTCTCCTGCGGTCTTCTCGTTTATTTGGAGAACTAATCCTCTACTGCCGGGATAGGAGGGCTGCACTCCCAATGGGTAATCTGTTGTGGGGGGGGGGAGCATGAAACAAAGGTGCCCTCTCCCTGGTTAAATATATGTGCAGAAATAGTTCTTAGTAGAAGTGGTTGCAGATGTTATCCATCTTTTGCTCACTTTTCTAATCTTTTCACCCTGTGGAGCCAGAAGTTGTGGAATTCAGCCAAACAACATGTGGAGAGTGACCAGTTGCCCACTTTTACAGCAACCCAGGTCAACAAAGCGACATATTCTATTTGCACTTAACCTGCTGCAGGTTCTCCTTGACAACAGTCCACAGAAGCTATGAGAGGTATTGAGGTCTTGGCCCAGCCTTCTGGGAGTTGTTCAAGAGCACCTGTGGCTCTATATGGCCCTAGCCGCCTAGAGTGGTCGAAATGACACAGCACCTGTGGCCCTATATTTAGGAACCAGTGTATTAATTACTGTTTTTTAAAAAATTCTATGGACATACAGTGGATATAAAAAGTTTACACACTCCTGTGAAAATGTCAAGTGTCTGTGATGTAAAAAAAAGAGAGGCAAAGAAAAAGCATTTCAGAACCTTTTCCACCTTTAATGAGACCTATGAACTGTACAACAAACTGAAATATTTTTAGGTCGAGGGAAGTAAAAATAAAAACTGAAATAATATGGTTGCATCTGTCTGCACGCCCTCTTATAACTGGGGCTGTTACTGTGTTCAGCAGTAAACAATCACGTTCAAACTCGCGTTAGGAGTCAGGAGACCCCTGCTATCATTTAAAGTGCCTCTGAGGAATCCCAAATAAAGATCAGCTGTACTAGTAGGTCTTTTCCTGACATTTTCGTAGTCACATCCTACAGCAGAAGCCATGATCCGCAGAGAGCCTTCAAAGCATCAGAGGGATCTCATTGTTAAAAGGTATCAGTCAGGAGAAGGAGGCATTAGATATACCAGTGGTCCTCAACCTTTTTAACCCCACGGACTGGTTGGGGAAGGCAGGCCCCCCATGCTCATGTGCATGCGTGGAGTGCTTGCGGGCAGGTGCTCATGTGCATGTGGGAGGGTATGTGGGCGCGGGTGTGCTCATGCGCATGTGTGAAGGGTGGTGCTTGTGCTAGCACATGTGTTTGTGGGGATGCACAAAGGTCAGCATGGTGCTCGAGGGTGCTCACGTGCAAAGGGGCTGTATGTGTGGGGGAGTATTGCAGGGGGAGGTCTGTCTCTGCGTCCCAGTCTGGCTCAGACTGCGGACCAGCACCGGGCCGCAGACTGGGGGTTAGGGCCCTCTGAGATATACCATGGAACCCAGTGAAGACAGTCAGTCATCATCAAGTGGAGAAAATATGGGGCAACAGTGACATCACCAAGAACTGGACGTTCTTGCAAAAGCGATGAAGAGACTAGAAGACAATGGGTCAGGGAGGCTGCCAAGAGGCCTATAGCAGCATTAAAGGAGCTGCAGGAATATCTGGCAAGTCCTGGCTGTGTGGTACATGGGACAACCATCTCCCGTATTCTTCATATGTCTGGGCTGTGCGGTAGAGTGGCAAGATGGAACCCTTTTCTTATGAAGAAAAACTTCCAAGCCCAGCTAAATTTTGCCAAAACACATCTGAAGTCTCCCAAAAGCATGTGGGGAAAAGTGCTACGGTCTGATGAAACCAAGGTTGAACTTTTCGACCATAATTCTGGTCCTCAACCTTTTAAACCCCATGGACCAGTTGGGGAAGGCGGGGAAACCCCCCATGCTCATGTGCATGCACAAAGGAGTGTGTGCTCGTGTGCATGCGCAAGTGAGCGGGAGGGTGCTTGTGCAGGTGCTCACTCATGCGCATGCATGAAGGGCAGAGTTCATGCGGGTGTTCGTGCGAATGCACAAAGGGATGGGGGAGTACTTTCGTGGGTGCAGGCATGCATGTGCAAAGGGGCTGTGTGGGGGGAGTACGTGTGGGGAGACGACTGTCTCTGAGGCCCAGTCTGGCTGAGGCCACAGACTGGTGCCGGGCCGCAGATCGATGGTTGGGGCCCTCTTGAGATATACCATGGAA